ACCTTTAATTCTGTCACTGCTTAATTTTCTTGGCATTTCTTAGTTTAAGTCCAAAGGAAAATAAATGGATTGTCCCTAGTAATTTTTTTTTTAATTGAACCAGTCCTCATCTAATGTCAGAAGCCAACCTAATGGATTCCTGCCCTTGGATTAGATGCCTAGCCCAGGTCCAGTGAGTTTGCTCCTGTGGGGGCATGGGCATGGTACAAAGCCTGGTCAACTACTGATTGTCTTCATCAGGGATGCTGACTTCAGCAGCTTGTTATGGTATTGGCAGACAATATAGTTGGCCTATGTAGAGTAGTAATTCATTCTCACTAATATAGCACGGGTAAATAACTATACTTCTTTACAGTGTTAGTAATTAATTTACATTTTTCGCAATGCTTTACAGCCTGAAATTGTGTTCACTTATATAACTTCATGTGATACTTCACATTAAAATGAACTAAAATCTTACCCCTTAAGGCAGTGGAGACTAGATATTAATATTGTGCTATGTTTTTTCACGTGAGGTAGCTATACTATGTGAAAGCATTGTGCAATTTGGAAAGTACAAGAAATTTATCTTCATTTAACATCCTGGTTATTTTTCTGGTCTTGAAAATGCTCACAACTTATCCTAATAAATAATAATTATTGATGGGTACATGCATCAATAACAGAAAGATTGACAGGTGATAGACTCACAGTATAAATCCTGGAAGGAGCTGTATATCTTATTCAATCCAACACCTTAATTTTAGCAATTCTAAATCAATTTATTCATCTTCCTTAAGCCCATTAAGGAAGACATGTGCTCTGATTTTTGCTTTAATCTAATGATCCTTGCAATAAATTCTTCTTAGAATTTATCACCCAAGAAAAAAGTTTTTCCTTTGCTAAAGTGAAATACTTCTTTTTGTTGGAAATAAGGTTACACGATCTGTATTTCTGTCTTTGTAAAAGCTGTCAGAAAGCACAGGGCTAGATTTAATTTTCGAATTTAGTTATATGGCCTATTTTAAAAAATAGTTATTATCTCCAGTTCATTAAACAAACTGTTGAGTGGAAACCATGGGCTAAACATTGTGTAGGCCCTTTTTACTTAGCTAGAGTTTGTGTATGTTTATCTAACAATGTATTTACATTTGCTTGTCTAAATGTATTTTTCCATTTTCATGAAAGCCACCTTAACCATTTTTGAAAATAGCTAATCAGTCAAATAGTGCTTATTGATCACACACTACGTGCTAAAAGGTATACCAGTGAAAAGCTAATAGTTTCTGCTAGGGAGGAGCTTACATTCAAGTGGGGATAGGCAGGAAAAGGAGAATAGGAAAGCTGTTACTAATAGAATAAGGTGAAAACTCCGCCATGCCATGATCTAGTCTTATACTTCCCTTTGCCTCCCAGTGTCAAGGACATTATTGAGATTAATGAAGACTGTTACACTTCTGAACCAACTGAAACATAGGAGCAACTGATTTAATATTTTAGCCTTGATTATGGACCAAAATCTGGGGAAAAGCTGATGGTACAAGGGCAGAGTTTTATTGCTAGCTTATAGGAGATAAATATACTATAAATATATAATATATATACACACACACTATGTATATAAGTTAGGCAGAGTAAATGTAGATAAATATTTATATATGCATACACACATATGTACACACACAGATATGCATAGATAAAGTATATTGAAGACATAAAAGACAAGGCACACATTTTGAGTAAGGTCATCTTATAGAACAGGAACTTTGAATACTTGCCTATTTTTTATCCAGTTTGCCCCTCTACGTAACTAAGTGCTCAATACATCTTCATTGAGTAAGTGAATAGAGAAGAAATTGCTTTCAAGTCATTATAGGAAAATAGGATGCTTGCTGCAGATAAGTCTAGATAAAAGCTGAATACTAATCACATTAGGGCATAAAATAGTCTTTGACTGTGTGACAGTGCTTTATAAATAGTATAAGTTTGATACAAAATATAGCTGATATAAGTTTGATGCAAATTGTGCAAAAAAGCAAGAAGACACCTTCTTTCACTGAGCTCAACCTTGTTAATTCAGGGCCTTGCGCATAATACATGCATATTAGATTTGGTTGTATTAATTTTTTTAAAAAATAAAAGCCAATCTAAGCATGTCTAAAGACAATGAAAAGTTTGGAAATAGGTTATCTTATCTACTTAGTAATTAAAATGAGCTGACTTTGATTAGTAGTAAGCATTAGCCAGTTTTAAAATACTAACTTTCAAAGCCTGATAAATAGTGAAGGAGCTCAACTTTGGCACTAAGTAGGTCTTCTGGGGAGCCTAATAAGGCTGTCTGTCATTTACTTAGCAGTACCTCTTACCACTTTCTCCTCGGAAGAAGGCTAGAATGGAGGTGGCTCAACCTGGCTTCTCAGTGATTACCTATGAGCTTGATAGATTATAAGGACCCCTCACACACACACAAATGCACAGAGAACTTCATCATTGCTAAAAAATAGCTGTAAATCTTTCAGTGCAGGCACTAGTATTGTTAGTGAATGACCATCTATAGCAGAAAGAACTGAACTTTCTGGCTTCTTCCAATTCCCATGCATCATCACTGTCTCTTTGCACTTTCACCTCGGAAGGGGTAAAGTAGTAGACCCCAAGGTTGTCAGGGAGGTGGCTCCACCTGGCTTCTCATCTCCCTTCCAATGTTGAATACCTGTGAGCCTCAGGCAAATCAGCAGACTCACCTTTCCCTTTGCTCTTTATCTCTGTTTCATGTTTCTCTGAGGAAGCTGGTGGTAAGCCCCTTGGAGAAATGGTTTTCTCTTAGTTTTCCTAGTACCTCACTGGCCTCTCTTCCTTGATCTTTTTTCCCCTGCTGTTTCATATAACTCTGGCCTCTAAATGTTGTAGTAACTCAGGGCCTTCCTTACTTTTCTATTGTTATTATTGTTATTATTATTTGTGGTTATTGTTATTGGTGCATAACAAATTAACACAAATTCAGTGGTTTAAAAAATACACATTTTTTGTCTCATAGTTTCTTTGGATCAGAAGTCTGGGCATATCTTAACTAGGTCTTCTGCAAGACTGCAGTCAGGGTGTCACGGGGTAGCATCTGAATGCTTGACTAGAGAGATTTATTTCCAAGCTTACTCAGGTTGTTGGCAAAATTTTCTTGAGGCCAAAGGAGTGAGGGCTTCATTTTCTTGTCGGCTGTAGGCTGAAGAACTTACCAGATGCCAGCTAGAGGCTGCCCTCAGTTTCTAGAGGCTGCCCTCAGTTCTTTGCCAAGTGGGTTCCCCAACATGGCTGTTTGCTTCACAAAAGTCAGCTAGCAAGTGAAAAACTTCAGCAAGATGAGTGCTAGAATCTTATATAATTTACTAGTGTAATCACACAGTGCAATTCATATGCATCCTGTCACATTTTCTATGGGTTAGAAACAAGTTACAGGTCCTGCTCACATTCTAGGGAATGGGAACCATACTAGGGCATGACCAGCAGGAGGCAAGGATGATGGAGCCACATAAGAGTCTCCCCACCCCAGGGCTAGTGTCTGTCCTCTCTCTTCTGTCTGTACTCCACTTCCTCCTGTATCTCATGGTTTAAATACTGTCAGTGAGTGGAAAACCCTCGGTTTTATATTTAAAGCTTGATCTCTTTCTCTAAACTCCACACTGAAATAGCCAACCGATTACTTTATATTGCCCCTCTTGGTGATGTCTAATAGGCATCTCAAAATTTACAAACCCAAAGTCAAAATAATTATTTCCCCCAATAATCTGCTATTCCCATAGTTTCTCACTTCCACTAAATGGTGGGTCTGTCCTTTCAGTTGCTCACATCAAAAACCTTTACGTCATCCTTGACTCTTCCTGTTCTCTCATATCCAACATCCAGTTTATCAAACCTTTTTTTAAATTTGCCATTTCTTGGTTAGTATCCTTATCTTCAGGTGGCACTAAGACTTGATCTAAAATATAAGTCGCTTGGTGGCTCTCTGGCAACCATTCCAGTCCTAGTGGGAAGTAAACTCTATCTCCATTTTCTAGCAACTGGCTCAGGTCCTACCTTTAATAGGATGGACCACATGGAACCCCAACACCACTGCTCTCTGACTTTGCTATTGATGGAAAGCCATGCAGCTTTACCATATGCCAGATTAGATTATGTCAGATGTTGCCTGTCACCAAATGAAGCTGCATTTGCCTTGATGAACCTCTCAGTATTTGTTTCACTCCAAACATCAAGATGGAGTAATGCAGGTAATACTAGTTACCTGATTCCTCTCCTAACATACTCTTCCTGCAGAGTTTTCTCTGTGGCCTGTCCTCTTTTCATCCTATTCTTTTTTTCTTCCTTCTCCCTACATCCTCGAAAACTGTGTTAAAATCTACTTCTGGGTAGGTATGACTTCCTATCATTCACATACACTTTGGTCTAAAATACTAAATACATGTATCATTTTCTCTAAGTGTATTTTTATTTTAAACTCTTACTCTTGTTATAGAATGAAAAATTTGTTGCCTTCAAAAGGATTTGAGACATTAGCCTGCTGATGAATTTGGTTTAAGGCGTAAACAGTAAAGAGGTCCATTCCTGCTTCCTTAAACTCACAGCAAAAATGTGAGGTGTGCGTACTCTCCATACATATGGGGTGTACCTTGGCCAGAACTCTCTATCTCTTTGAGCTGGGACACAAGTAAATGGTGACTCATGGAGGGAGCTGGCAGAAAAGAGGGGATGATTTGAACCACATGGGTTGAGAAAAGTTTACAGATTCCTTCTCTACCACTATAGGAAGATGGGTAGCTATGTCCTCTTCACATACTTTGTGATTCTTTCCTTTCAACTTTAAGTTGTTTCTTAAAGTTCATTAAATCAGGTGTCATTTGTATAAAAATATTTACCGTTGGTGGAGTAGTATATGGTGACTTTACCTGAGTGATATAGACCACATTTACCTTTTTGCATTTTTTCTATTTTGTTGAAGCCCCATGCTAATTTTCTAATCCTATTTTTAGGATTCTGAATCTTGAACGTTCTGAGGAGAGCATCCAGGCTTCAGAGTTCCTGCCAGGTAATGAGAAAATATGGAAAAGTCCCATACTGCCCCGATTAGAATTTCTCTATGAGTGTCAATTTTAGATAACCGCTTTTTTATAGGGGGGAAAAGTTAAAGTTCTGATAGGAAATTTTATAAAAAATAACATAGAATTGACAATGAAACCATTTTTTAAAGTTGTATGTACTCTTAATTACTCTGTTTATTATTGAGAATCAGCCTACCCACAGATAAAATAAGAGACAGATGCCACTCTAACTAGACAAATGTTTCCAAAATAAGATATTTCCTATCAGCAGAAAATGTTTTACTTGATAGACTAACTTGATAGTATTAACAAAAACAGTTGGATGCAGAAGAAAATGTGTGTATTGCCAACACACATTTTCAGGAGATAAGCACTTGTTACAAGTACTACATGCCTAGAGAAATCTTTGTTTTGGCCAGCTGAGACCACCACGTGTTTTAAAATATGTCATCCATTATTTCAGTGTTAAGAGCGCCCCCTGGTGTGATTGTATGATCATATGTTTATGAGAAATTTAGATGGTTTTTAAAATCTCATTTTGCTGTTATGTGGTGATGGGCCTTCTTTGTATGCTAGATTGACTTGGTCAATATGGTGTGTAATTATCTAGAAATATGCATTTAATTTATTTCTTGCTCTTCTCTGTGGATTATATTTGGTATCAGTGGTCAGCCTGAAAGTAGAATTTGGGAATATCTAATCCTTAAACTTCTTCAATCCAAGATAATGACCTTAATATATCATTGAGCAAGTGTGAAATTATATGCTGAGATACATTTTTAGAGAATAATCAAATTCTTTGCTGGTAATTACTTTATTAAGTGGCAAATTGCTGTGAACAGTTTCTTTTTGGTACACTTAGGAGCATTTTAATAGTTAAACATGAGAATTCAGATGAAATATCCATTATGTAAACATGAGAATTCAGATGAAATATCCATTATGTAAAAAAATAATCCAAGTTTTGAGATACTCTTACAATCCAGCAGCCCTCTGTTTGGTATAGAACTTGCAAATATAAACATAATAATTCATCCATGAATCATAAACAGAGCTCTAGCCCCTGAAATCACCCTCACCCCCATACATTTTCCTTCAGAATTGGCAGCAGAATACCTATTTTGTAACTGTCATTTTTCCTTACATTTAATTTTTAGTCCTTTGGGAATAATTAAACCATCCTTGCAAAGCGGATGTGTCCATAATATTCTAAACTACGTTTCTGTAAATTTGATGATTGCAACTATATTTCCCCCTACTGTCTCTTCTTCATATTAAATTTTCTTGATTGTTTTAACTATTTCTCATAGGTTCTATATTCTAAACTTGATCATTTATGGGGCTATAAAACTGAGTTGTTTCCTATAGACTCTGTCTGTTTTCATTTCTTCTATATGCTCCCTCTCTCATTTGATTCTGAAGCCTGAAGCTCAGCACAATATTTACGTTAAGTCCTGGCTTGTTGAAAGGATAGTAGCTTCTAAAACGTAGAATGAAAAAAAAATAGAGAGCAGTCTGCTATCTACCATAGTAGATAGTATGTTTGAATCCTGGTTCTCGTATTTACCAACATTGTGACCTTGGACATGTCACTGAGAGTCTCTCTCAGAGCCTCAATCTCTTCTCCTGTAAAAGGGGAATGCAAATGACTGCTTTGCAGGATGTTAATTCACCCTTTACATTAACATGTATTTAGGACTTGCTGTACGCCAGATTTAGAGTGGGCGCCTCATGAGCATTTACTTCTCACAACAATTCTGTGAACTGGGTGCTATTATTTCTATATCATTGATGAGGCTTAGCAAGGCTAAGTAGCCTGATCAGTGCAAAAGCCGAGATTCTCATAAAGGTCTATCAGACTTAAAATGAGCTCATATCCACTATGTTGTATATTTGTTTTAATGATACTGATTCATTTCTGCTAATTTGTTGATTTCATTTTCCTCAAGGTCAGATAATCTTCCAATGCACAAACATAAAGGAAACCAATCTTTTGAAAAAAGAGGAGGTGTATCTTTTAATTCTTGTCTGGAAATCAGAATTACTTTGGGCACTTATTCTTCTATACAATTTTTTCAAACCAGGCAGTGCGTTAAGAGACTTTTTGTTATTGGCCTGGTTGAGCTGGTAACAGCAGTGACAAGAACTATGGGGTTAATGAATCTTAAGGCACCTCGCACCTCTATGCATAATACAGAGGTAGGATAATAGAATGCTAATTTTAGAAACTGTTGCATGCTTTCAACTCACCATTTCCGTTGGTTTTCTCTGGACCTTGGACCATAATCTATTCCTATGTGCCTTGCTATTTCAGTTAAATATCTAATTACTTGGATTAGCTTTGTGAAGCCACATCATTTTCCTTATGGTTTAAGAATTTTTTCCTGATATTTTAGAAAACAGATTTTATTCTTTAATTGCTTCAGAGGCCGATGTAGTAAGTTTCTCATTTTGTTAATAAGTCATTTTAAAGGCTACTAAATAACTCACCATAGTAACACGTTGTGAACAGGCCTGTTCTTTGGTTAAAATCTAGTGCTTCATACTATTCCTTTGGTCCTTGAGATTTGCTCTAGGAAGTAGGCTGTTCAACCATGACTCAAGAGCACAGAGTTAGGTTCCTCAATGGCTGAGTGACTATTTTCTTGTTAAGGTTTTCTCATCTTGTGCTTGGGTCAGATGTGTAGGCATTAATATGAATAGGTGTGTATGTTATTATTGTCTTACTAAGGTAGCACGTTACCCCAAACACACACTATCCTTAGGAAAACTGGCTCAATCATCATTATTAAATCAATGAATGAGGGAAGGAGTGGGAGTTCTTTTAGCTTTCCACCCTCATTTCTGCCCCACCTCTACACTTGTTACCCCTTCCTGCCCATCACACACACACATACACACTCACACAGAGGCACACATACGTGCACACACACATTTGGTGAGTGTGTTCTTTAACTTTGACTTGTTTAATGTCTGTGGAATCAATCCCTGTTTTTCCAAATCCTCCAATATTGTTTTGGGTTAGGCTCTCATATATTTCGCTTAAACAATTGGAATCGTTCTTTAACTGAATTCCCCCTCTCTAATGTTACCTATTTCCAATAAACTGTCCCCAGTGGGACCAGGATAATTTTCCTCAAGTATAGAACTAAAATCAGCTTAAAATCATTCAGTGTCTCATTGTCCAAAAAGACCCTTTGGTTCTTGCTTACCTCTCATCTAATTTGTCTCACTACCATTGTCCTCACCCTTTGAATTCTGTGTTTTGCACCACTGAGAAAATTACAAATCGCAGAATGCTTTTCACTTTCTTTGCCTTCCTGTGCCTTTATGCAGTAACTCTCTGTGCTCGTAACACCCTTCCTCACTTATTTGGTGAGCTCCACTTTCTCCTTCTGTGACAATCCTTCCCTGACTCAACTCCCACTCCACAGGCACACACCCAGTCTGGGTTGAGTGCCTCTTCAGTGGACCGCTGTAAGACCCTATGCTCACTTCTGTTATCGCAAAGTTCAGCTTACGGTGGTCAACCTGAGGGCGAGAATTATGTTAGATTACTCAAGGTATCAAAGTGCCAGATATATAGAAAGTTCTTGGCAAAACTTTATTTTTGAAGCCCATGAAGAGGCTGAATGAAAAATAGAAAGATATTGTGTTAGGAGTCACCTTAAACCCATGCCTCAGTCAGGCTTTAAAGCTGACGGGTCAAATGCCTGACTTCTGTCAGCCGTTACTGGGCAGGGTGGTGAGGCAGCCATCTGTCGACTTTATCTGCTGTGTCTTCCATTTACGTTGACTTTCTCCCAACACTTGTATACTCCTCTGTGTACCACACCGCCCCTCTGTCACAGAGATTTCCTGTGGCTTACTCAATATCCATTCTCTTCTCCTTCTTCTTTGCAGAGTCCCAATATTGTTGCAGGCAAGGAAAAAAAAAAGGGAAAAAAACCCCACTAGCCTGTCATTTTCTTATCCTCTTTGTTGTTGTGGGAGATAATCTGCTATAATTCTGTCCAGTGAAATATAAACAGAAGTCTGATGGAATTTCTGGGAAAGTGGTGCTTTCTTGATATAGATGTTGCCTTATCTTCCTTTTGGCCCTTTCTTTCTTCCTCATTTCTGGAAGGTACACATGATGACTAAAACTGGAGCAGCCACCTTGCAACCTTGAAAGGCCAGGAATGTTGCTGTGATTTTAGCGTTGACATCCTTGAACTTCCAAATCAATACCACAGTTTCCTTCCTTTGACTTCTCATTACATGAGAAAAATTCACCATGTTGTTGAAGCAATTGTTATCTGGGTTTTCTGTTGCATCAACTGATTCAGTTGCCTGACACTCGTTAGCATTACAGTTAAAATGAATGCATTAAAAGTTAATGGTGTAAGTTTCTCACCTTTCTACCTATATTTTATATTGTTAACTCAACGATCACGTATTTAGACTTCCTGTCACTGTATACTACTCTAGACAGTAAGATACAACAACTGGAACACATTCTTATGCACATGGCTTACAGTCTCATGGGGGCTCAGAAACATAAATTTACTTATAATATACAACATGAGATAGAATATATACTATGGTAAGCACCACGAGAAGTATATGTAGACAAACCTAAGGGTAAAATTTAAGAGAGTATCTGCAATTTGAGCAAGATCTCCTAAAAATATTAAAAGTTTTAAAATCAGAAAAGTGAATCTCTCATCTGGGATTTCAGACACCCTGGACCGGACTTATTCGTTGTGCCTTTAGAGTAACGCAGTGTGGGTGGTCACCTACTTTTGTGTGTCAACTTTGTTGCCTCTTACTAATAATTAAAATGAGCACAGTCTAGGAGGCCAGAGATAAAATCCATGCTTTGAACTGCTGCTATCTTTGGAAAGTTAGATTGGTGAAAAGCAATGTGTGGAGGAGGAGGGGCAAGAAATGACACAGGACGTTGCCAAGGATTCTATTGACACAGACTGAAGCAGTAAGCCAAGAG